CAACGCTCCTGCTTAGCAACCAAAAGGTTGGCTCAGAAAGTCTGGCATTTGAAGCATGCAAGTCTTAAAACTGCCAAGTTACCATCTTCAGAGGTCTTCTAGTCCACCCCCCTGCTCAAGCAGGAGACCCTAGACCAGGGGTCTCCAACCTTGGCCACTTTAAGACTTGTGGACTTCAACTCCCAGAGTTGCTGGCTGAGGGACTCTGGCCAAGGTTGGAGACCCCTGGCCTAGACCATTCCAGACAAGTGACCGTCCAGGATCTTCTTAAGGACCTCCAGGGATGGAGCTCCCACCACTTCTGAAGGCAATCTCCGTTCCACTGATTCATTGTTCTGTTAATTTCTCCTTAATTCCAGGCTGCTCCTTGTTTCGTTTCCATCGGTTGCTCCTTGTCCTGCCTCCGGTTGCTTTGGAGAATAGGTGGACCCCTTCTTCTTTGGGGCAGCCCCTCAAATACTGGAAGGCTGCTACCATGGCCTTCTTTTCCTTCAATTAGACCCAATTCCTGCCGGGCTTATTTCAAGGTGCTGTTTATTTCTCCCTGCTGGTTTATGGCCGATGTGCCTGAGTGGCTCTCAGAAATTCTCTCGCATTTCAGGTCTTGGTTTGGCCTGGGATGCTCTCAGTTCCCCAGTTGAAAGGATGGTAGAGTCTGTCCACGTGTTGTGCAACCGAGGAGTTTTCATTATGTCTCCTAACTGCTAGTAGTTGGTGCTCATAGCCGCTACTAGCACTGAGGTTCCCAAGTTAGATCATGGAGCGTCTGCAAGAAACCAGCTCAGAGATCACCAAGGACCCCACAGCCCTCCTCCTCCTCCTCTCTGCCTAGGGTTGCAAGGGAATCGCTGTGGTTATTAAGTGAGTAACATGGTTGTAAAGTGAATCTGGCTTCCCCGCTGACTTCACTTGTCCAAAGGTCACAAAAAGGGGGCCACGTGACGCCAGGGACCCTGGCGCAGTCAGAGGTACATGCCAGTTGCTAAGCCTCTGATTTTTAATCACGTGACCGCAATCATGTGCTGCATTGAACCTAAGGGTGAAAAAAACAGTGCCAGAGTAACTTCAAACAGTCACACCTCCCACGGATGGTTGAATGAATGGGGGTGGGGGGTCTTGTGCGTTGCAATGGGCTGGACTAGATGACCTTTCAACCTTGATTCAGCGAAGATGCCCAGAACAGCTTCGATCGATTGGTCCTTAGAACAGAGCGAGGTTTACCCAGATGATCAGTTTCCCTTCTAAAGCTTGAGAAACGGCTCATTTCGGGAGATGTGAGTCAGCAGAAGCCCTTGGTCAGGTCAGAGCAGAAATGAATTGAGTCAAAAGGAAGAAGGATTGGCCCCTCTCTCCTCGCTGGGCTGCTCTGAGACATTCTCAGAATGAGTGACGCACTGTCATCTGTTGACTTTCTGTGGGCCTATTAGAGAGAATTCACATTAAAAGAGAGCTGCGGTAACTGGGGGAAAAACACCAGCAGTCAGAGCAAGAGTCCCTTCACAAAATATTATGGGTTCAGTTGACCTTTGCAATACAACATGTTTGTGTCATTAAAAAACCTGCTGATGAGATCTCTAGATCAGGATTTCCATGATCTCATAAATGGTATTTCTTGTAAGCCGCCCAGAGTTACAAGAGATTGAGGTGAGCAGCATGTAAATGGAATAAAAGTAATACTAATATTTGTAGCTCAGGGCTGGAACTCTCTGAGCTGAGTGGTTT